AGAGCTTACTTTATTGTTTTTTTAAAGTTTTATTAAAGTCATCTCTACACCCAACGTGGGGCTTGAACCCATGACCCTGAGATCAACAGTCGCACGTTCCACCTACTGAGCCGGCCAGGCACCCCCAGAGCTTACTTTGCTTTGAAGAGACAGTTTTTGTGATGACCCCGAGGGCTGTTTTTTTTTTTATTTTTACATCGGTCCTGGAGCTGGGAACACCCTTAGGGCTGAAGGATTGATTTAATCTTAACCCAGGTCACAGGTCTCTTTGAAATTTGATCAAAGCAGGGACACAGGCTCTTCCTCGGAAAACTACACTCCACATCCACACACGTTTGGATTTTGTGCGTTATTCAGGTTTAGGACTCCAGAAGACCATCTCCAGATTTTTAGGCCAAGAAGCTCCCCGGCCTTTGTCTCATGGGATAGCTATCACTTTGGCAGAAACATGGGTGGGTGGGCATGGAGTTGCGTCCCCGGAGTCAGCATTTACAGCGAGCAACGCTCACCTCCTGTTGGCTGAGCCCTTAGGCTAGGATTGCTCTGTTACCTCAACTGTGTGACCTTTGGTGGCTGGAGCTCATATTCTCCACGTCTAAAGGGGGTGGATTACTACCAACGCAGAGTGAAATAATGAGATAAGACTTCAGGGGTTCAGTTTCTGGTTCTCCATATTACCTGTGACCTTGGCAAGCTCTAAACCTTTCTAAACCAGGGGCTAATGATAGCTCTCTTATCAGCTGGGGTGGGGTGTTCATGAGATAAGCCATTTGGGATTGCACAACCATAGCCTGACAGATATAAATGCTCCTGTCAAAAAAGGTCATTCACCTCCCTTCCAAAAATCAAAGCATGAACCACCTCACAACGTTAGGATGGAGACTATTTAAAAAAAAAAAAATGTTGGCGGGAGTGGAGAGGGAATTAGACGAACCCTTGTGCATTGTGGGTAGGAATGTAAAATGGCGCCTCCACTATGTAAAACAATATGGCGGGTGCTCACAAAATTAAAAATGGAATAACCCAGCAATGTCACTTCTAGGTATATAGCCCCAAAATTGAAAGCGAGGATTTGGAGCTATTTCTACACCCAAAGTGATTTGTAATAGCCAAAAAGGTGGGAGCAACCCAAGTGTCCCACTGATGGATGAACAAGATGTGATGTATCCATACAAAGGGATGTTTGTTACTCAGTCTTGAAAAGAAATTCTGACAGATGCGATATGGATGAACCTTGAGGACATCACGCTGGTTGAAGTAAGCCAGTCATAAAAAGGCCACCACTGCATGGTTGCATTTATTTGAAGTCCCTCCAGTAGTTAAATACATAGAGACAAAAAGTAGACCAAGGGTTGCCAGGTGGGGTGGTGAAGAGTCAGTGTTTAATGTGGCCAGTTTTAGTTTGGGAAGAGGAAAGACTCCTGGAGGTGGGTGGTGGGGATGGTTACACATGTCTGAATGTGTTTCATACCACTGAACTGGACACTTAAAAAAATTGGCTTCAATGGGGGGTGCCTGGGTGGCTCAGTCAGTTAACAGTTTGCCTTCAGCTCAGGTCATGATCCTGGGGTCCTGGGATGGAGCCCCACATTGGGCTCCCTGCTCGGCGGGAAGCCTGCTTCTCCCTCTCCCATTTCCCCCTGCTTGTGATCCCTCTCTCACTGTTTCTCTGTCAAATAAATAAAATCTTAAAAAAAAAAAATGGCTTTGATGGGGGGCACCTGGCTGGCTCTGTCGATGGAAGGTGTGACTCTTGATCTTGGGGTTGTGAGTTCAAGCTCCACATTGGGTATAGAGATTACTTAAAAAAAAAAATAAATAAAATCTTTAAGAAATGGCTTACATGGTGTCATGAATATTTTACCACAATTAAAAATAAAAATACATATATCAGCAAAAAGCAAAGCAAGAAACTGGGTGGTGCTGAGGAACTGGATCTTAAGCCTGAGCTAACAAGTTAACAAGGATGACAAAGGGGTGCCTCGGTGGCTCAGTGGGGTAAGCCTCTGCCTTCAGCTCAGCTCATGATCTCAGGGTCCTGGGATCAAGCCCTGCATCAGGGCTCTCTGCTCAGCAGGGAGCCTGCTTCCCCCTCTTTCTCTGCCTGCCTCTCTGCCTACTTGTGAACTCTCTCTCTGTGTCAAATAAATAAATAAATAAAATCTTTAAAAAAAACTCAAAAAGCAAAAAACAAGGATGACAAAATGGGCCTTGGAGATTGCTTGTGGGCAACAATATTTTTCATTTCTGGAAGGCCTCTTGGTTCACAGAGCCCTCTGGAAAACTAACAGTAGACCTTTAGTTCAGAAATACATAACTTTACATAAACTTCTGGGATTTTCAAGAACTTCTGAAATCCCCCCATGATCTAGTGGTGGAATGGTTGAGAGGAAAAACAGAGGAGGAGAGGTAAGGAGAGCAATCTTCAATCACCCTTGAGGGGAGGGACCCAAGGATGCGTAGGGGGACACGCTACATCCAGTCTTGGTGTTGCTAATAAAGGATATTGTTTAAAAGCTATACATTTTTGTATATGATCTGTGCACAAAACGTATGCATAGGATACCTCGATAAAAAACAGGCGAACCAAGATTCTAAAGATCCAACCTATCAGAAAAAGGTCTGGCAGGAGACACTCCAACGTGTTGACAACAGCAGGCATTTCAACCAGTTGGGACCATGGCAACTTCCACTGTGCCAAACACTTCTGTATTTTTAGAATTTTGCCTTGTACAGTCATGATGAATTATTTTGTTCACAAGGAAAAAAAATTCAGTAAAGATGTTTTCTGAGGTGTTCACAGCAGGTGTTCATTAAGACTTTCTGTGGGGTGCCTGGGTGGTAACGGTTGAGTGACAGACTCTTGGTTTCAGCTCAGGTTCTGATCTTGGGGTTGTACGATTGAGCCCCATGTTGGGCTCCGTGCTCAGCGGAACCTGCTTAGGACTCTCCCTCTGTCCCTCCTGCTCATGCTCTAAAATAAATAAATAAATCTTTTTTTTTTAAAGATTTTATTTATTTGACAGAGAGATCACAAGTAGACAGAGAGGAAGGCAGAGAGAGAGGAGGAAGCAGGCCCCCCACTAAGCAGAGAGCCGGATGTGGGGCTCGATCCCAGGACCCTGAGATCATGATCTGGGCCAAAGGCAGAGGCTTCACGCACTGAGCCACCCAGGTGCCCCAAATAAATAAATAAATAAATAAATAAATAAATAAATAAATCTTAAACCAAAAAATTTTCTCCAACCATGTTCTGTATCTCCAGTTTTTATTTGGTAGCCACGGGTGGCTATGGAGCACAAATCAATCATAACTAATTTACATTTAAATGGAAATAGCCACTTGGGAAAGTGCCTGAGTAGTGCAGAGCAGAAGGGAGTTTACTATATATTATTGTCACTTTTCTGTCACTTTTAATGTTGTTTAAAATAAGTCCATATAATTTTTTCTTTTTATTTGTTTTGGAAAGAGAGCCCCTGTGGGTGGGGGGAGGGGCAGAAGGAGAGAGAGAATCCCAGGCCGACTCCTAGCTGGGCACAGAGCTGGACACAAGACTCCATTCCATGACCCTGAGATGGCCACCTGAGCTGAAACCCATCCAGATGCTTTACCACTGAGCCACCCAGGCATCCCCAAATCAGTCCATTTTCCAAAAAGAGATCTATTTGAGAGGCACTTGGGTGGCTCAGTCGGTGAAGCATCTGCCTTTGGCTCAGGTCATGATCTCAGGGTTCTGGCATGAGTCCCACGTGGGGCTCCTCGCTCAGCGGGGAAGCCTGCTTCTCCCTCTGCCTGCAGCTTCTCCTGCTTGTGCTCTCTTTGACAAACAAATACGATCTTTAAATCAATCAATCAATCTAGAAGCTTAAAGAGGAGTACAGCGAGACAAAGACCACAGGCTGCCGCGTGGACGGTATCATAAGATAGCTTTATTAAATTCCTTTACCTTCTACAACACGATTACAAAAAGGAATACTTCATTTAAGTGTAATACTGTCTTTATGGACGTACCGTGGTCAGAAAAGTGAAGTTAAAGGTCATGAATACATGTGAGAAGAGCACGGGGGTGGGGGCGGGACCTCCCTGGAGCCTCGCACACTAAGGGGAGGGGAAAGCAGAGATAAATGCGGACTTATCTGGGGGGGGGGGGGGGTGGCGGCTGGGGATTGTCAATGAGCAGCTTCTAGGAGCTTAAAATAAACCTCACTGCTGGCTCTGGGGCCAGACACACAGGCACACAACTCCGGTACCACTTTTCAAAGCCACCCCCAGTCGTCCCCAGTCCGCTCTGGTTTTGTGCCCTCTCCGACTTACATGCGCGCACATGCAACCCTTCGACGGTCCAAGCTCTTTTTGTGTCCAGTACCTCCCTTCGGTCACAATCAAAGCAAGCCAGAGTCCATCAAGCCAAGAAACCCCCCTTTCTAGAGAGCAGCCAGCGCCCTGCTTTACTGAATGAACGCGAGCCCTCAGGGCTGTGGTTTGGCTCCGTCACTGGCGGCTGAGCGCAGAGACCCGGCCAAGAGAGGACGGGACCCCTATGAGCTGGGGACCTCAACTCCCTGTCATAAGGCACTTCTCAAGGTTCTGAACCCATCCCCTACCGTGGGTTTTTTTTTTTGTTGTTGTTGTTGTTCACAAAAGGAACTGGAAAGAAAATGATGTTAAGATTCTGGGGGGCAGAACAGGCCATGGAGGAAACTGCGTGTGTCTGGCGAGCCCTATTTCCAGCAGGCTCTGTGCCAGGCAGCTCCGGAAAGCCTGTAGGTTGTTTAAAAAAAAAAAAAAAAAAAAAAAAAGCCCCCCAAAACAAAAACCTCCAGCTGGTCCTTGTTTGGTTTTCGGCAAAGCCCTGTCTCTTTAAGTGTGCGCTGGGAGCCCTCGGGGGCAGCCAACTTGTAATTGTGCACACATGGGAGTTTTCGTAGCTTGCCCTCCGCTTGGACAGCGTGCGCATGCCCCGTCCACCGCCCCCCGCCCCTTTGACGAGAGAAATTCTGGGGAGCCCGAGGGCGGCCCTGTTACCAGGGTTCTAAGTCCAGGGACTCAGCAGCTGCTCTGGGAACCCGATTCATTTCCTGCATCCCCAGGCATGCAGGATTTTCGAGGAAAATTAATATGTGGCAGGGCCTCCACGCAGGGAGGGGATGGGTTTCTGGGTGATTTTATCGGTGTCCACGGCTCACACATCTCGGCTGCTGGGTCCTGAGCCCTCTTACTTGAAAGCAGAAGGAAGGACTCAGCTTCCTGCCCTGAGTGACAAGGACAGAATCTGTTTTGCGAAGAGACCAGAAGGAAATTCTCCCAAGAAAGCGGTCTGGGGGGAGCGGACAAAACACTATTATACGGCAGACAATTAAATGTGGGGTGGGATGGGGGAGGGAGCGCGTTAAGGCACTCCAGACGTGACCCGTGCATAGCAACATTCAGGATTAAAATGAAAATATGCAATTCCAGTGACTTTCAAATTTGGCAACAAGGAATATGATTTCCTCCCCTCCCCTGATAATGACTCAAAAATACAGGATTTTCCCTTTCACCCTGCTCCGTCCATAATTGCCAGTTGATTGTTCTCCCTGTTCTTCATAAACCCACGCCCCGACATCGGCCGCTGGCGCCAATTTATGGAAGAATTTAGCTTCAGTCTGTGCTGCCGCGGCTTTGAACTGGCATACCAGGAAAAACCCGCTTTGGGCTGCAGTCTTGCTGCTGTCGAGGGCTCCTCCTGGGAAGCAGAAGAAGAACCCACTTGCCTTGGAGACGTGGGCCTTGATAGGTCTCTGTGGGGGCTGGCGAGGAAGGAGACAAGGGACGAAGGTCGAGGGACGGTTGGCTCTGGGGCTGGCTGGCCCTGAGCGGCGCTGCCTCTGGCCTCCCTCCTGGTTATTCTTCAGCTGAGGATGATGCAGGACTTTCGTCATCAGACATCGGGGCAATCTGAAACAAGAAGCAGAATTCTTGTTTGACATCATTTCCAGGGCCTGCAAGGTGCCAACTAGGTTGGCTGGCCCTGGGGCTTAGGTGAGTGAACAGGAGAACTTGGTCCCCCCAGCCTTAAGGAGGGGATGTTGAGAGAAGGGCATGGAGGCTGAGGACGATTTTCATCACAGATGAAGGACAGAGAGGGAATGAGAATGGAGAGCGGGTAGTCCAGGCAGGGGGCCTTCTGAGCTGAGTGAGGTGGGGCTTTCCGGCAGTGGAAACAGCAAGTGCAAAGGCCCCAAGGCAGCAGCAGCAGCGGAGAGGCTAAGCAGACTGAACAAGGGGCAGAGGAAGAGAGTAGAGGAGGAGGTGAGGGTGTTTGTACAGGGCTTGGTGGGCTCTGGGGATGACTGGCTTTTTCTCCAATTAGGGTGACAGCCACACAGGGCTGCGAGCCAAGGAGGGTTGTGCCCTAACTCGGGTGTTCACAGTGACCCCTGCTTGCTGGGGGGAGTACAGACTGAAGGCGGCAGCCTGGGTGAAGGCAACAGCAGTGGTCTAGGTGGACAACGATGGAGGACTGGGGTCTGTCCCTCAGGAGCCTCTGGAAGCGGGACCACACATCAGATAACAGCTCCTCACCTGGTCCGATCACCCCGTCTTCCAGTTGAAGAAACTGAGGCTGAACGGCGCCCCAGGTGATGCCCTCAGTACTGCAACTGAGCCCCAGGTGTCCCAACACCCTGGGGAATGAAGCTGGGGAGACCTAGAGCCTCAGTAAGAACCTGGAAGTCACGTGGATGATGGAAGGCTTATCTCAGTGACCCTGACTCTCCTGGACCGTTTGGGGGTCACTATAATCAATACCCACCATGTCACCTTCAAGCTGCAGCTTAGATGTGCCTCAGGGAGGCCAAGGCGAATGCAAGGAGGAGTGAGGAGGTAGGAACAGTTGAGTTTCCTGCTCAAGGTCTGGAGATAGATGGCCCCCGGGGCCTTCACCCCTTCCTATCTGTGAGACTCTGGGCTGGGGACGTGATCATTCTAAGCCGCTGCTTCCCCACCTGAAAACTGGAAAGGGTAACTATACTTTAAGCAGCTGAATCAGGCTCTCGTGTATGGTTCATCATCATGGCTGAGAGGCACCTAGAATGCTGTCCATCAGACTAGAAGAGCTTGTCTCCTCCATCAGACAAGATCAGACAAGGAGGGGCACCTGGGTGGCTCAGTGGGTTAAGCCTCTGCCTTCAGCTCAGGTCATGATCCCAGAGTCCTGGGATCGAGCCCCGAGTCGGGTTCTCTGCTCAGCATAGAGCCTGCTTCCTCCTCTCTCTGCCTCTCTGCCTGCTTGTGATCTTTGTCTGTCAAATAAATAAATAAAATCTTTAAAAAAAAAAAAAAGATCAGACAAGAATACTGTTTAGAGACCTATGAGGAGTGCTCCTGTCTCCCCCTTCAGACTGGAATGGCTCTCTCCTCCATTACGCACTTATGATACAGCAAGGACCAAAATTATCCTCCTGTTAGGCTTCCAGAAAATGTTCTGCTAACAGACATCATTTTTTTTTAAGATTTTATTTATTTGTCAGAGAGCGAGCACACAAGCAGGGGGAGTGGCAGGCAGAGGGAGAACAGGCTTCCCGCCAAACAAGGAGCCTGACACAGGACTGGATCCCAGGATCCTGGGAGCCGAAGGCAGACGCCTAACCAACTGTGCCACTCAGGCCCCCCCCCACCAACAGGCATCATTTGTCAAAAACCCTGATTTCTGTGCTCAAATAAGAGAAATGCCAAGTTAGACATGAGTTAGGTTTCTTTACAGTGAGACATCCCAAGGCCTTGAATACACTGCTTCGAGGAAAAGCCAAAGTCCTCACGGCAGCCCACAAGGGCCTGTAGTCATGGTGTCACCTCCTTGCTCTCATCTCCTCCCACTGTGTTTGATACTCCTCAAGCACCTCAAGCGTGCTCCCGCCTCAGGACCTTTGCCCTGGCTGCTCCTTCTGCCTGGACAGACACATAACTCACTCCCCCAAGTCCTCAGTAGCCCCCCATCTCTCAATGTCCCCTCCTGTCCTATTTCAGATTTTTTCCCAGCAGTTACTGTCACCTGGTATGATATACTGATCTGTAAATACACACACACACACACACACACACACACATATATATATTTTTTTAAATCTGTGTATTTGTATCTTGCTATGATACCTGCTCTGTGGGGGTTTGATACCTGCTCTGTGGGGGGCCAAAACAGTTTCCTGTTTGGTTCAGGGCTGTGGCTTCCAGGGTCTATCATGCAGTGGGTGCTCTGTAAATATTTCTCAAGTGAGTGGACAGGTCTCAAATGGAACCAGACAGGTCCAGGTTCAAATACTGCTACATACTCTCAGCTGTCCATGCCTCATTTCCTCACGGGGGCAAGAGGAACGTTCAATAAGCATGGGCCCTAAACGGCACCAGCCCTTCCTAACCGTCCGTCCCCTCCCAGAGCGCCCTCCTCTCCCCACTGCCCTGCCCATGTTGACACTCACTGAGCACTTGATGTTCATGCGGGAGTAGAGCATAGACGCGATTTCACTCTGCCCGGCATCCAAGGCCACCATCAAAGCCGTGCTCCCGTCCTGCAAAGCATCCACTGCTATGATGAGGCCCCGAATGATGCTCCCGCCCTCCCTGGAGCTCCTCGGGCGGGGAACTCACACGGTCAGTGAGTGCGATGTCACAGCTGGGCGTAGCCAGCAGGAGCCCCGTGATTTCCTTGTGGCCGTGCTCACAGGCGCACATGAGGGCTGTGGAGCCGTCGTCGTCCTGCACGTTGACGTCCGCTTCACAGGCCAGCAGAGCCCTGACCACGTCCACCCGTCCGTGGCTGACCGCCAGCATCAGGGCTGTCTGCCCTGCCTAGGCAGGGCAAGGAACAGGTATATAGACCATGCGGGGCCCCAACGCAGGACACTGTTGCTCTGAAACCTTCCATTGCTCCCAAGTACTGTGATGGTAATGGTATCCCCACTTGTTGGCCTCCTTCTAGATCTAACAATCCCTCCCACCACTGGGCCTTTGCACCTGCTGGTCCCTCCTCCTCCTGCTGTCTCCTTCTCATCCCTCACATCTGGTCTTAAATGTTTCCTCTTTGGGGAGGTGCTACTTGCCTACCCACTCCCATCCTCAATTTCCTTGCTCCCAGGTGTCAATATAGATGTACACATTTATTGAGCTAAGACTTGTACAGTTTTCTGTATGTCACTTGAATGTCAATAAAAATTAAATCAACGTTCATTAGTGGATGAATGGAAAAACAAACTACAGAATATTATTCAGCCTTAGAAGAGAATGAAGAACTAATGCTGACGGCACCACAGGTGGACCCTGGAAATATTATGCTTGCTGGAAGAAAAGCCAGACACAAAAGAACCCATACCACGTGATCCTATTTATGTAAAATATCCGGAATTGGCAAATCTAGAGAGAGCGAAAACAGACTGGTGGCTGCCAGGAGCAGGTGGAGGGGGAATGGGAAGTCAGTGCTAATGCTAATGGCCCAGTGCATCTGTTTGGGGTGATAGGAATGTTCTAGAAGTCAACAGAGATGATGGTTGAACAACATTGTTAATGTACTAAATGCCACTAAATTGTATACTTTAAAAAGGATAATCTTTTTAAAAATTATTATTATTACTATTTTGAGAGAGAGAAAAAAATGAGTGCATGCCTGTGCAGGGCAGGGGGCTGCAGAGGGAGAGAGAATTTTCAGCAGGCTCCACGCCCAGCCCCGAGTCTGACAAGTCTGACGCAGCGCTCGATCTCATGACCTGAGATCACGACTGGAGCCGAAATTAGAGTCGGACGCTTCACTGACTGAGCCACCCAGCACCCTGTTTTTAAAAAAAAATTTGGGGGCGCCTGGTGGCTCAGTGGGTTAAAGCCTCTGCCGTCAGCTCAGGTCATGATCTCGGGGTCCTGGGATCGAGCCCCGCATCAGGCTCTCTGCTCAGCAGGGAGCCTGCTTCCCTCTCTGCCTGCCTCTCTGCCTACTTGTGATCTCACTCTGTGTGTCAAATAAATAAATAAAATCTTTTTTAAAAAAAGTTTTTTAAATTAAGATTTTATTTATATTTTAGAGAGAGGGAAAGAAGGAGAGCATAAGCAGGGGGAGGGGAAAAGAGAGAAGCAGACTCCCTGCTGAGCAGGAAGCCCAACTTGGGACTCGATCCCAGCACCCTGGGATCATGACCTGAGAGGAAGGCAGACACTTAACCAACTAAGCACCCAGGTGCCCCTTAAAAAAGTTTTTTTAAGTAAACTCCACTCCCAACATGGGGCTCAAACTTAGGACCCCAAAAGCAAGAGTCACATCCTCTACCAACCGAGGCTGAGGTGCCCCTAAATGGATAATCTTATGTATATTTCACCTCAGTTAAAATAAACTATTGAAATTGTTTTTAATTAAGGAACTAAATCAATAGAAAAGCCAGCAATGGGGGTGCACCTGGGTGGCTCTGTTGGTTAAACACCTGCCTTCAGCTCAGGTCATGATCCTGAGTCCCAGGATCGAGTCCTGCATCGGGGTTCCTGCTCAGTGGGGAGTCTGCTTCTCTCTCTCCTCTCTCCCTCTGACGCTCCCCATGCTTATGCTCTCTCTCTCTGTCAAATAAATAAATAACATCTTAAAAAAAAAGAATGGGTTTCTGGGGTGCCTGGGGGGCTCAGTGGATTAAAGCCTCTGCCTTCGGTTCAGGTCCGTGGTCCCAGGGTCTTGGGATTAAGCCCCGTATCGGGCTCTCTGCTCAGCGGGGAGCCTGCTTCCTCCTCTCTCCCTGCCTGCCTCTGCCTACTTGTGATCTTTGTCGGTCAGATAAATAAATAAAATCTTAAAAAAAAAAAAAAAAAGAATGGGTTTCTAAAGCTAGACCATCAAGGTTCAAATCCACCTGTTCTAGTCTGGCCGTGAGAAACGGGTGCCTTTCTGAGCTTTGGCTCCCTTGTCTGTGGAGCAGGAATTCTCCCCCAGGGCACGGAATAAGATCACGTGTGGGCTTGGTGCACAGCCCGGACTCAGTGAGCGGGAAGGGCTGCCTGGGTCCACAGTATGGAGGGTTTGTACCTGGCTGGCTTTGGCATTGACGTTTCCATGCCGGAAGAGCTGCAGGACCGTCTCAAGGTCATCCTGGGTCTTCAGGGTGGCGAGAGCAGTGAGCATGATGGGGCTGTAGCCAGCACGGTTCTGTTTGTCCACCTGGCACACACCTGGGGGGGATGGCAAGGAGGGCACGGGACCTCAGACCCCAAAACTGGGTGGGGGGGGGCCTGCCCATGAGAACCAAGCAGCATCTCCCCCATCAGTGGCCAGATTCCTCCCTCCTCTCAGGTTGAGAGACCCATTCTGCCCCAGTGTCTCCACCTCTGGCCACATTAGAGGAGGGACTTCTAAGGGGGAGACTGTGTCTGGTCCATCAGCCCGGAGACATTGCCACTGGTACCCAGGTTTAGGGCTAATCATAGGGGTTATTATCCTCTACTGGTCTGGAAGAGCCAGTCTCCTTCAGTGTGGCCTATATTTTCTCCATCAGACTGTGGGCTCGGCCTCCTTCATCAGTTTGGGAGGCTGTGTCTTCCCTATTAGACCAGGGAAGGGCAGATTTCTCCCTGCCTGTTTGAGGACCGTGTACTTTTAAGTCCCAGATGGGAGGCTATGCCCTTCTCTCAGACCAGGGCTCCAGCAGTGTCACCTTCATCACACAGGGGTTCTTGGGGGGGAGGAGGGAACCTGAAAGGTGTACATGTTGTCCCTAAGGCCATGTGTGCTTTTTTCAGTATGCTGGGGCTATGGGTAGGGAGGATTGCATCTCCCCCAACAGACTGGGAGGATAGCGTCTCCTCCACCAGACTGGGATGGCAGCATCTCCCCCATCAGACTGGGAGGCTGGTGTGCTCCTCAAGAGGGCAGCTTGACCTCCACCATCAGACCATCCAGGTGGGGGGAGCATCCAGCCCAGCCGCCCCAGGGCCCCCTTGTCCTGATGCCCCCCCCCCCCACTCACCGCTGTCCAGCAGCTGCCGCACCACGGGGAAGTTGGCGTGGGACACAGAGTAGTGCAGCGCCGTGTTGCCGTTGCTGTCAGCAATGTTGACCACGTAGTCCAGCAGGCGCGCTGACATGGCCCGGAAGGTGACCAGGTGGCGCCGCACGAGCTCGGGGTGGGCGTCGCTGCGGCAGGCTAGGCGCAGCCACTCCTGCAGCACCGTGGTGTAGGCCACTTTCTGGCCACGGTGTGGGGGAGGAGGGGCATGAGAGCAGCTGCAGCCTGCTCCCCACTGCCCCCGACCCGTGACAAAGCCCTGCGCAGGGAGTGTGGGTGTGGACACCCCCACCCTGAGCCACAGCCTCCAGGAGAAGCGGGGGCAGCCCTCCGCAGAGTCACCCCCAGCCCCCTCCCAGACAAAGACTCTAAAGGGACTCCAGGCACCAAAGACCCAGCTGTGCCCCCAGGGAAGGCGTGAACATCTCCATCCTGGTCTTCAAAGGCAAGTACAGGCCCCTGGAAAGAGACATGTGGCAGCGCCTTCCCTCGAGCCCCCAAAACAACAGGAACCGGAGGTCAGGATGCTGGCAGAGAACCATCCTCCGGCTCCTCCTGCTGCCCCAGCCCCTCTCCGGGGCCTGACTCCAGCACCAACCCCCAGCTCTCAGCTTAGATCCTGGAGTCCCTATGAGGCCGGCACAGGGAGATACTGCGGCTGAGAAGCTGCAGTCGGGGGGAAGGGAAGGAGAGGGCCCTAGGCCGAGGGCCCCGTCATACCAGCTCCCGCTCAGTGAGGGCATTGGGGTTCTCCAGGTACTTTTCCAGGGCCAGGCAGGCGGAGATGAGGTCGGGGCTTAGCTCCATCCTGCCAGGGGCAGATAAGAGAGAAGTTTACTTCCGGAGTGCTCACCTTGGCCTCCCAGGTGACCCCAATATATCCTAAGAGAAAGTGGACACGCAGGCTAACGTTTATTCCAAGCAGGCAGTGATGGATAGAAAAATCTTGGCCCGAGGGCAGATTTTTCACCAGGGGGAGAAAAGACACCAATGGGATGGACAGGTGGGGCCTATGTCCCAAAGACAGTGAGAGGCTTAAGGACAAATTTTGTCTGCCCCTTCAATTCTAACTCCAACAGTCCAAACTACCCACATCAGGCCCTTTATCAAAGCCTGCAGACCTTCTGATGGCCAGAAGGAAAAAGTGTTAGTTCGCTAATTCAGACTAAGGTGTGCATGACTGATAGGAGATTCCCTCAGAGGGCGCGAATGGTGAGATCTGAGGCAAAGGTCACCCACTTCACCCCATCTGAGTCCCTCCCACCCAGAAAACTGACCGGATCTCCTCTTCTGCACTCGCTCCTGCCGCTCCCTCTACCACAGGCAACTGCTGACTCTCCCGAGATGGCTGGCGCTCCTCCTGGCTGCTCTTGGCCACTGCTGTCCCCGAGGGCCTGAGCTTCGGGGCTTCAGCCACACTTGGGACCCTCTCCGCTGGCTCTGGGGCCTCATTCTCTGTGCTCTCGTTGTCTGAGAAGTTCTCTGCCGTGCTGGAGTCCTCAGATGAGGACTCGTATCTGGGACGGAAGCATGGGTGGAGTGAGGAGACAGTGCATGTGGGAAAGGACATGGGCTCTGAGCCCTTGACCTCTCTGCACCTTGGTTTCCCCAACTGTTAAATAGGTAACAGCCGCACGAGCCTCACAGGGCCTGGCGCACAGTAAATACTCCATAAACACTAGCTAGGACTGCGACTGTGCTTGGGGTGGGAGGGAGAGAAGTACTGCTCTCACCTTCTATTCCTTGACCCCTTATGCAGGTCTCACTATGCCAGACCCACTGCAGACAGGTCCCTCTTGTGCTTCTTGCTGCCTCTAGACCAGGTCTAAGCTTTGGGTCTGGCATTCAAGGTCCCCAGACTGTCCCTGTCTACCACTTCCTACACCTTTTGCTTCTCACGGATGTCACTGCTGCCTCCCCCGACAGCCCTCCAGGCTGTGCCCTCCACCTTGGGAGGGACTGCCCTCCCAAGCCCCACTCTTCCCTCGGCTGGCTAGCTCCTCCCCTTCCCCAGCAGCCCCGGGCCTCCAAGCGTCCCCATCCCCATTGGGGCTGAACTGCACGCCAGTGCCCGAGGCCCCACTGGACGGGGAGCTCCATTAAGTAAGGAGCCAAGCCTGGCACCTTATGAGGACCAGCACAGAGCAGCAGCCACTGCACAGGCTTGGGAGTCTGACCACTGGGGGCCGACTCCCGGTCGCCATGTGAGCTCCAGCAAGGCATCCAGCCCCGTGTGCCTCAGTGTCCCCAACTGCCTACGGTGCTTTGGTTAAAGGAGTGAAGCAATGTCCGGGGCCTAGAGCGGGGCGCATTCTTGGATATGAAAAACCAAGGAACAAACAGGAGGGCAGAAGCTGAGGAAAGGGTGAGAGCGTGGGGTGGGGGTGGGGGCTCCTCTCACCCGCCATTGACTCCCACAAACTGCAGGCTCCTTTGGTGGGCCGCAGCGTCTGCGGGCTCCTCTTTGCGCTTCATAATGGACCGCACACCTGCCGGGGGCTCGCCTGGGGAGGATGGGGGGGTAAGAATCTCCCAAAGCCAGGCCCTGTACCCGAGCCTCCGGGCCCGTCCCCCGCGGCCACCCTCACTCACCTGCGCCCCCCGCCGCCTCTGAACCGCGTGAGGCCACATGCCTGGTGGGCTCTGTGTCAGCAGGATCGCGGATGCCCACTCCGCCCGTGCTCTTCTCAGGCTGTGCTGGGGGGGTCACCGCCATCCCTGGGGGTGACGAGGAGGCCTCCGCTGGAGCCTGCGGGAGCCCTGCAGGGGCAGGAAGAGAGGTGCTCACTGTGGGTAAGCCCCGCAGTTACAGCTGCCTCCTTGGGGTCACACGCCCCGGGCCAGGCGCTCGGAGGGCTGAGGCTTGGGTGCTTCCACGAGTCTTCCTCACCCACGAGAGTCTTGTTGTTATAAAGGAAACTGAGGCACAGAAGGTTGCCTGAGGTCACCCAGTGAATGAGCAGCAGAGTCCGATTCCAACAGCAGTCTCTTGCCTGCACTGGCAGCTGGTCAGGGACAGGGAGGACACTGTGACTCTACAGTCCTGGCTTGTGGCCCAGCACCCCCCTCCCCCCACACACATCAAACTGAGTGCTGTCTGGAAACAAGGTTTGATCAGAGTCCCCGTCATGGTAGGGACTCAACTCTCCCATGAACAAGCTGTGTGACCTCAGGTAAGGCGCTTAACCTCTCTGTGCCTCAGGAGAATGACATGTCCTCCATCATAGTGGTGGTGTGCAGATTGAAGATAGAATGTCGGGGGGGAAAGGAGGCTCAGAACGATGCCTATAACGTCAATAGTGCTCAAGGACCATTTGTTAATTCAAGAGAACTGTAAGCACTACTTTCATAAGATTTATTAGTATTTCAACAAAAGCAAGGCTGTGTTACAGAGATCACTGCTCCCTTCTAAACTTGGAAGCTGGTAACACTGTAACAATCAGGAAAAAGAAACAATAAGGGTTATTAGGAAACAAAGGTTTTTTAAGATTTTGAGAGAAAGCGAGCCAGGGAGAGCATGAGCAGGGGAAGAGGGGGAAGCAGGCTCCCCACTGAGCAGGGAGCCGGATGTGGGGCTTGAATGCGGGGCTCAATCCCAGAATCCTGGGATCATGTCCTGAGCGAGGGCAGACGCTTAACTGACTGAGCCTACCCAAGGGCCTCAGAAAATAAAAATTAAAGCCCCGCCCAGGTAGGGGCGCCTGGGTGGCTCATTTGGTTAAGCGTCGGATTCTTGGTTCCAGATCTGATCATGATCTCGGGGGTCATGGGATTGAGACTCAGGGTGGGATCCGCGCTCAGTGCAGAGTCTCTCTCTCTCTCCCTCTGCCCCTCCCACCTCACTCCCATGAGCGAGCACGCTCGCACTCTCTCTCTAATAAATAAATAAAATCTCAAAAAACAAACAAACAAAAAACCCACCCCACCCAGGTAGATTTTCAGTCTGGGAAGATGAAAATATTCTGGAAATGGAAAGTGGGGACGGTCACGCAACAGTGTGAATGTGCTTAATGTCACTGAACCAGACACTTGAAAATGCTGAGATGGGGGCGGGGTGCCTGGCCAGCTCAGTCAGTGGAGCATGTGATGCTTGATCTCAGGGTCATGAGTTCAAGCCCCACGATGGGCATGGAGCCTGCTGAAAAAAAAATAAAGATATTAAAATAAAATGGTTAAGATGGTAAGTTTTATATGATGTATACACATTACCACAATTTGAAAAAACCACCCAGGTTTTTTCAGGTTGGGCGGAGGACAAAGGTGACTCTGTGGGCACTAGGTCCCAAGGGTGCTCACTGCCCATGTGGGAGTGGGGGGGTGGCAGGGACAGGATCCCCGACCTGGAGCCAGGAACAGAGGCGCCACCATGAATGGCTGTCCCCATCTTAGAGCCTGCCTCAGGTTCCCCCAGGCAACATGTGGCTTCCAGGTCCCTGCTTCACCCAGGACATCTCATTTCTACCCTTGGCCATGGGCTCTGTGGACAAGTTCCTTTCAATTCCCTTTAAAAGTTACACCTTTTTTTTTTTTTTTTTTTTTTTTTACACAGTGAAGACTTTCTCAAGTCCATGACCACTGGAGTTAGGAACAGAGAGAGCCAACAGTCGGCACAAGCAAAGCATGAAGAACAGATGAGACACAGCCACAGACAGTGGATGGCGCCCAGCCCAGGGCGTGGTGGGCCCCGCTGGCTTCCAGAGCTGCAGCCCGAGCCCCTGGGGGGAACCAGACACACCCTGGGGTTTTTCTGTGACTCTCCTGATTTCTTTTTTTAAACTCTGTCAATAAATTCACATCCAACCAACCAACAAAATGACTCTGTGGCCAAGCGGGCTGTGTCAGGAGACACACAGGCCAGTTCCCAGTCTGGGTGATTGGCCCCGAACTCCGGACTTTAATTCCAGTACCTGTGAGGTCCTGCATTCTGCGCAGTGAAAGCAGCCAGTCACAAAAGGACAAATAAGGCAGGACTCCACTTATGTGAGGTCCTTAGAGGAGTCAGTCACAGAGACAGGAAGTGGATGGTGGGAGCCAGGAGCCGGGGGAGGGAGCAGGGAGTCAGTGTTTAATGGGGACAGAGTTCCAGTTTGGGAAGATGGAAAAGCTCTGGGGATGGATGCTGGTGACAGTTGCACAACAACGTGAATGTACTGATGCCACAGGACATTTGAAAGTGGGTCATGTGCTCAGTTTAATATTATATGTATTTTACCACGATTTTTTAAAAGTGGAGGGGGAAGAAAAAAAAAAAGAAATAGAGCAAACCATAGCCCCTTCTGCCCCCAGGGAAAAGCAGGCCCTTGTCTCGAAAAGCTTGGACGGCTCCTTCTAGTGCGAGGAGTTCAAAGTCAGATGCTCAACGCTAAAACAGCAATAACAATAATAAAACTGATCACAGGTATTAGTGTCATTCCACGAAGGAATGGGGCAAAGCGGTACCACAGTTTCCACGGAAGAACTGAAGTCCACGACCAGCTAAGACAACTTTACCCAAAAGGGCAAAGATGGGGAAGCTGACTGAGGAGAGAGTAAGCCATTCCAAACAGCTACAAGGCCCACACAGCAGGCACTGCAGAGGGAAGAAATGTGCCAAAGGAGCAAAGGCCTGACCCAGGCCCCAGCCGAGGGAAGCTGGAGTTAAGACAAAGGGGCTTCCACAAATTGGTGGGAAAGGTGGCCTCTGGGGTGTGACGCTGGGAAAAAGCAGCTGATACGACCCAGGAAAAACCAAGCTGGATCCCTACCTCACACCTTAACGCAAAAACTCTGAAGGATCAATGTAGCTACCAGATGAAAATGTAACAGAGTATCGGGGGGCCTCAGGACGGGGAAGATTCCTTCAAAAATTCCTCAAAGAGGGGCGCCTGGGTGGCTCAGTGGGTTAAAGCTTCTGCCTTCGGCTCAGGTCATGATCCCAGGGTCCTGGGATTGAGCCCCGAGTCAGGCTCTCTGCTCAGCAGGGGGCTTGCTTCCTCCCCTCTCTCTCCCTGCCTCCCTGCCTACTTATGATCTCTGTCTGGAAAAAAAAAAAAAATCCTCAAAGACAGGGCACCTCCATGGCTCAGTCTGTGAGGCGTCTGACTCTTGACTTTGGCTGGGGTCATGATCTCAGGGTCGTGCAGTCCTGGAACCTACTTAAAATTCTTTCTATCCATCTCCCTATTCCCTGCTCACTCTTCCTAAAAACAAACCAACCTCAAACTACATATGAAAAATGCAAGATGATCTCACTCACATGTAGAGCTGGAAAAAACCAAACTCCTAGATGCAGAGATCAGAGCGGTGGTTTCCAGAGACAGGGGTGTGAGGAAATGGGAGAAGGGGGTCAAAAGGTAGAAATTTCCAGTTATGAGATAAATAAATCCTAAGGATGTCCTATCCAGCATGGAATCTCTGTGAGCTGACAGATGTTAACTAAACTTATGTGGTTGTCACTTTGCAATATATATACAGATATGAAATCATTATTTGTGTACCTTGAATGGGTACAATGCTATATGCCAATTTCATCTCAATGAAACCTGAAAAAAATAACAAAAATTAACTAAAGAAGAAAAGAAAAATACGATGGGTTTAACTGTATCCAACATGAAGACTTCTACTTGATAAAACAAAAACAGAAACAGAAAAACCCACACAAAGTTAAATGACAGAACAGTACACACTATAGGACAATATTCACAATGCCAAAAATGACCAAGGGATTATCTTTTAGAACGAGACTCAATAAACTTCTTCTGTAAGGGACCAGACAATAAATATTCTCAATTATGGAGGCCAGAGGGTCTCAGTTGCAAAAGTAGCCCTGGACAGTATGCAAATTAATGGGAGTGGCCAAGTCATGATAAATTTAAATTCCATATAATTGTGCTCACGTCACAAAATGTCGTTCCTTTCATATTGTTCAACGATTTAAAAACATAAAAACCCCTTCTTAGCTTGGGAGCCTATAAAAACATGCAATGGGCTGGATTTGGCCCAAAGGCTGTGGTTGCCAACCTTGATTCTAGAATATGCCAGAACTTCTCAAAATCGCCCGAAGAAAAACGAACAAAGGCTAAAAGTAAGTGATTCCAGAGGAATCTTATTAAACATGTATGGTGATGCCAAATCTTACCAAAAATAATCAAAGAAATGTACATTAAAACAAGGAGATAACACTCTGCGCCAGTGTCGATGGGCAAAACATGAGAGAAAACTTCATGCCGGTGGGTATGTGGGGGAAATGGGCTCCTTGGATCCAAGCGTGGGTGGTGGGAGTGTGGACAGGGAGAGCTTTCCCAGAAAGGATCAGACAAAACGTGGAGTGAAGTGGTAATTCCCTGTGATTCAGCAACTCCAGGGGAGGTGACGCGTGCAGGTAGCGCTGTCAATGCTCACGGCAGCGAGGAGCTGAAAGTCACCCAGGTGACCACCGAGGGGGCACGGAGAAGAAAAGCGTAGCATGCACCTAGGGCAGAAGGCTACACGATCGTTACAAGGGACAAGCCCAGGCGCCTGGGGGGCTCAGTGGGTTAAGCCTCTGCTTTCTGCTCAGGTCATGATCTCAGGGTCGTGGGATCGAGCCCCTGCATTGGGCTCTCTGCTCAGCAGGGAGCCTGCTTCGTCCTGCCTCTCTTGCCTACTTCGTCCTGCCTCTCTTGCCTACTTGTGATCTCTGTGTATCAAATAAATAAATAAAATCTTTAAAAATAAATAAAAAATAATAAAAAATTTAAAAAAAAAACAAGTAACCAGCCCGAGGTAGAAGCATCAGGGTGGAGAGTTCAAAAAGAGTGTACAAAGAGAGAGAGAGAAAAAAAATAAGAAACGGCAAGATTTTTCCTTCGGAAATCACAATACCATTTTAGGAAATCAAGCATGCACAGAGCATATTTTTCAAGGACACTGAAATGTCTAAATAAGCTTCTGGAAGGTGGATTGCAAGGAATGATAGTACACGGGCTGTGGGGGGGACGGGGAGTGAGAACGGCAGAGAGCCGGGGTTGGCCAACTACGGACCGTGGGCACCATTTCTGCATTTTTGATGGTTGGAAAAAAACAAAGAAGAATGCTCTCTGGGACATGTGAAAATTACATGAAACCGAATTTCACACAGCCACGTCTGTTCCTTTATACATTGTCCAGGCTTACGAGCTACACAGAACTGAGGCACTAAACTCATTAAAATGCATACATGAAATATGCAAAAAAATAAGCTCTTGGCAATTAAAAACAAAAAAAAGAAGCAAGCAGAATTGAGCCATTCCAACAAAGATCAGGCTGCCCACGGAGCTGAAAATATTTACCGACCCTCCGTATTGAGGGTGGAAGGTGAAGGGAGAAAAAAAATCGAGTAAAACGAGAGAGCTGGCGTGCACAGACCGAGGGAGCTGGTCGCCGTGAGCTGAAGAATTTAAATGAACTCGGTTTGGGCCTCCTTTGGGCCGAATGAAATTCTTAAAAATGTAAACCACTCAGCCACCCAGTGTGGGAAGGGAGCGAGGCCACAGGGGGACAGAGCAAGTTGGCAATAATCATGGGCCTCAGAAATAGTCCTCTAGGGGCCAGTGGGTGGCTCAGTTGGTTAAGCGTCTGCCTTGGGCTCAGGTCATGATGGGATCGAGCCCCACATGGGGCTCCTTGCTCAGCGGGGAGCCTGCTTCTCCCTCACCCTCTGCCACTCCCCTTGCCTGTGCTCTCCCTCATTCTCTCTCAAATAAATAAATAAAATATTTTTTTTTTAAAGATTTTATTTGTTTATTTGAGAGAGAATGAGGGAGAGCACAGGCAAGGGGAGTGGCAGAGGGAGAGGGAGAAGTGAGCTCCCTGCTTTGCAGGGAGCCCGATTTGGGGCTTGATTCCAGGACCCTGGGATCAAGACCTGAGTCGAAGGCCAATGCTTAATCGACTGAGCCACATAGGTGCCCAATAAATTAAAAAAAAAAAAAAAAAAAAGGTTTGGGACGCGTGGGTGGCTCAGTTGGTTTAGCAACTGTCTTGGGCTCAGGTCATCATCTCAGGGTTCTGGGATCAAGTCCCGCATCAGGCTCCTTGCTCAGTAGGAAGCCTGCTTCTCCTCTACCTGATGCTCCCCCTACTTGTGCTGTCTCTCTTTCTGTGACAATTAAATAAATAAAATCTTAAAAAAAAAAAAAAAAGCTTTTCCAGAAAACTTCCCAGAGAAAACAGAAGATGTGAGGGGTTTCTGCGTAACACGGATGATAATGACCGCCGCGGCTGCCCAGTAGATGCGGCATCCCAGCAATTTTTAATGAGAAGAAATGCCTTTGGGATCATGTTAAATCCAAGAAACCAAAGGCGAAGTTTGAATACTGGCTTCATGGAACAGTGGGCAATCACTCTTGGGCCTCCATTTCCTCATCCCTAAAATGGGGATGAAAATACCACCCACCCTGGCCTCCAGGTGGCTTGGGGGAGGTAAATGAACTAAAATATGAAAAGAGCGTCTAAAAATGCTCAGGCCCCCTAGGGAGGCTGCCTAACTGCTTTTCAAAGTTAAATAACGCAAGACAACACACTCCATCACCATCAGTTCCCTGTTGCTGTTGAAAAATACGTATTATTTTCTGCGTTAAAAATTTCGGAAGGAAAGAGTAAGTGCTGACAACAGCTGTGTCTGGGCGGTGGTGGGTTTATGGGGGTTTTGCTTTGTGTTCCAGATTTTTCTGTCACTTCCCAAACTTTCCACAAAGAATATGAATTGCCGTCACAGGAATATGTTTTGAATGGGGGCAAAGTACATTTCAAAGCCTCCGAGCCCCCACGGATGGGCATGCCCAGCAGCCCCTTCTCCCAGTGATCTGCTGGGGGTGTCTTTGGAAGGTGGGGGGATAGGACTTGCTGAGGCCTCCAGGCCTCTGCCCGCCCAGCCTGACCCACCCTTGTCAGCCTAGGGGGAGGGCTGCTTCTCACCCTCCGGGCCCTTCCTTGGCAGTGAGGGAATTCTAGATGGCAGAGAAGGCTTCCTTGCCACCTCCTCCAGGGAGTACTCCCGGATCTACCCATCAAGCTGGCCAACCTAAACACAGTCCAAACGTTTGTCAAGTTCTGTACTATCTAATTTCATTTTTTACAGGGCTTCTCCCCAGTCTACAAGCCCTACAGGACCCATCTGATACCCCACCACCTCTGGACCTCACTTCTCCGGCCTCATCCCATTCCACCTGCTTCCACACCTTGATGTGCTCCAGCCCCTCCTCACTTCAGGACCTTTTGCCCCTGCTGTGAACACTCTTCTTCCCACCTCTGTGCCAACAGCCTGCCTCTTCTCTTTCACATCTTGGCTCCAAGAGCCAACAGCCTGATGCCACACAGAACATGCGATAGAAACAGACGCATTATACCTCGAGCTGATCTGGTGACACTGGGCTGTCATGACCCCCGATTTGCAAATGAGGCACACGGAGGTCAAGTAACTGGCTCAAGGGCACAGAGGGAGCAGGGAAATCAGAACTGGAGCCCAGGCCGCCACCCCATCCAGTGCTGCCTGGCCCGTAAGCCTGCTTCATCTGCCTTCAGACACATTGTCTCTGAAATGATATTTCTTCACTTATTACAGGGCTTCTCTTGCTTATCGTACAGGCTCTTTTTTTTTTTTTAAGATTTTATTTATTTATTTGATAGACAGAGATCACAAGTAGGCAGAGGCAGGCAGAGAGAGAGGGGGAAGCAGGCCCCCTGCCGAGCAGAGACTCTGGGCTCGATCCCAGGACCCTGGGATCATGACCAGAGCCGAAGGCAGAGGCTTTAACCCACGGAGCCACTCAGGCGCGCCGTACAGCCTCTGTCTTTTTCACTGCTGCGTCCCCAGTGAGTAGAAGAGCGTGGCACACAGCAAACGTTTGGTAAAAGTCTGCCGAATGCGAGGACACTGAAATGAACCAGCACATGCCAGTTCTGCCCCAACAAAGCAGAGACTGGGACTGGCTGCAGCAAGGACTTAAGTGAGACACATGGAAGAACTTTGGGGGCAGCAGCCTGCAGGGAGCGGGAACATCACTATGCCTGGGTGTCCTGCAGGTAGGGAGTCCCACTGCTGCCTGAGACGGCATGTCTGGAATGAAGGCTGCCTCTCAGAAATCCCAAGGCTGAGCTGGGCAGGGCCCTTGGCTGGGGGCCAGAGTCAAAGGGCCGGGTGTTTGCGATGGACACAGAACAGAGGAGTGGTGTTTGGAGCTGGCCAGGAACAACATGGAAAAGCAAGAAAACACAGCTGGGTCCCCACCCTCCAGCTTGTGCCCCGGGGTCCTGCTGTGGGGCTCTGACATTGGAGATTGGGATGAGGACCTGAGCTGTACCTCTGAGCCCTCTGTAGGTTCAGGCTGACCTTAGTCTAGATCGTGGCTCAGCGCTTCCTGACTGTGTGACCCATGGCAAGTACAACTTGCCCTCAAACCTCAGTTTCCCCAGCTAGAAGCAGAATGGGCCTGAAAATTATCAACAGAAGAAGCAACGAGCAGGGACCGAGGGTTCACTGTGCCCAGTAATCCAAAGAGTCCTGGAGATGGGGACTATTGCTACACTACTTTATTGACAGGGAAGCTGAGGCCCAGAGAGGTGAAGTCCCTCACCTAGGGACCTCACCTAGTCCCTACATCAAGAAGTAGAATCTGAACGCAGGTGGCTTGAGTATAAACCCCATACTTTTCAGCCTTCCACGAGTGAAACCCTTACCACAGCACCTGGCAACAGGCTAGCACTTGATAAAGAACAGCTGTCATTATTATGAATCATTCCGACAGCTTCTCCCAGGAGCCTAAGGGTGGCAATGGTGGGGCAGCTGTCATATTGCAGATCCCACATCCTCTTTTCTGGCATGAGGACTCAGCACTTCCTCTGGGAGGGGGGCACCCCTTTGTTCCCTCAAAGGCCACAGGACTTGGGTGGAATGCCTCTACCCTTAGATCTGGGGTTGGGCAGTGAGGGGCACCATGACTGGCTCAGGGACGGGCACATGACTGCCACCAGCCAATGAGGGGCACCCGTGGGATTTTTTTTATTGGCACTATTTGGACTGAGAGGCTCTCTTTCCGCTGAGATAGAAGGACAGATGCCTGGAGTGGTGGGACTACTTTCACTCATCTGAGAAAGAAGACCCCAAGGTGCAGAGAAGAGAGCTAAAGACCCTTGATGATACTGAAGCACCTAGATCCAGCTATACCTGAAGCGGTCTCTAAGTTACATGAGTAATACATTTCCTTTTCATTGCCTACACTAGTCTGAAATTGGTTTCTGCTATTTACTGAATAAATTGGGTGAGCTTTTCGGCCCAACAAATCAACAGTCTTAGGGACCCTCTCTCAAATACTTCCTGTTTTCTGGATATGTACAATGTACTAGACATGAAAATGCACACTTAATCAGATACCGATTTTTCTGCATGCCTCCCTACAGCCCAGAATTAGTGGCAAACTGTCCCCTTTTTTGCAGGTGAAGAAGCAGAGGCTCTGAGAGTCAGAGTGGTTGGTCTGATGGAAGGCCCCAGCTGGGGCTAGACCCTGGCATTCACAGGAACAAAGAGGACCTCTCCACCATCCTCCCCCCATCCACTATGGCTCACCTGTTGTCCTATCGCAGCTTCGTTCTGTGATGCTTATTTTCTTCACCAGGTGGACGTTGCCAGTGGGCGCAGTGGATGCTGGGAACACTGTCTCTACCACCTCATGGCTCCGGAACACAGCAGGGCTCTCGACCCCTCCAGATGTCACCAGGGACCGCAGCCCTGTCCCATAGGGCTCCAGACTCTGGGCCCGCTGTGCAGGGGCCCCAGCGGCAGTACTGGCCACCACCTCCACCTCCCGAGGGCCCTCTATCACCCGGACAGTGTCCACGCGGATGGGGCTGTCTGGTGGTAGCCGGGCCTGGGGCTGGGGGTCAGCCTGCCGAGCCTGAGCTGCCTGCAGCTCTTGGAGTGCTTTCTTGAGCTGGGTCTCCAGCACGGCGACCTTGGCGGCAAGGGCTGCCTCCCCGTCAGGCACCCCCAAGTCCCGCTCCCGGACCCAGGTGCCCACGCTCCGGGTCTCGAGCGTCACCGGGTCCTCGGAGGGCTCTGGGAGGTCCAGGCAGAGCTCGCTGCGGGCTCGGGCCCCTGTGGGATGGCCCAGGAACTTCTGGCTCTTGAGCTGGACTGTGAGCTGCCGTTTCTCCTCCTGCAGCACGGAGAGCTTCACCTGGAGCACGGGGATCAGCTTCACCTGCTCCTCCAGCTGCCGCAGCTTCCGCAGGGCACCTGCCATCTGCTCCCGCACGTGGGCCAGGTGCCCGGCGCTAGGAGGCACAGGTGTGGACAGTCCCGAGCCCCGTGGGGTCGGCGGTGGCAGCCCCACACCCACCAAGGAGCTCGTGGAGCCTGCTGCGCTGGGGGTCAGGGAGCCCAGGCCGGCGGGAGCGGCCGCCTGGTCCTCCAGGCGGCGACGGGCATCCAGCAGCGTGCGCTCCACGCGCGGGTTGAAGCCGGCCCGGGTCTCCAGGGCGCCATACTGCGGGTAGAAGCCGCGGCCACAGTAGGAATAGGCCGAGTGGCGGCTGTCCCCGCTAGCATTAGAGCACAAAGACTCGGTGGATGTCCACCAGGAGCCGGGACCCCGGGGCAGCGAGCCGAGGCGGGGCCGGCGCTGCACAGCCACACGCCGGAGCGTGTGGCCTTTCTCGATGTCGTCCACGTACTTGAGGAAGTCCAGGTCCAGGCGGTAGCCGTAGGGCGTCTCCACGGAGTATGGTGGGTCAGGCTCCCTGGCAGGGAAGGCGGGCGGGGAGGCTGGGCCGGGGGTCCCTGGGGCATGAAGAAAGACCACAGCCTCTGAACACGGCTGCCCCCTCCTCGGGGCGAAGACTCACGCCCCGGGGAGGGTCCGGGCCTCTTTGCCCGAGGGATGGGAGCCCACTGGGTGCTCAGCTGTGACTCCAGTGTCAGCGCAAGGCCCGGTCACCCCCGTGGAAACCCTCAGGGCAGGCCCGTGCCTCCTCCCTCCACAGCCCCCGATGGGGACCCATCTCTTCCCCCATCTCTCTACTTGGACCCACCCCTTTCCCTGAAAGACTGTTGGGCCCCATCAGCCCCTCCAGGCAGAGCCAACCCTCATTCAGGCCCTCAGGGCAGGGCTGTCTGTGCTCTACCCTCAACACCCCTCCCCTCACCCCTTCCCCCAGAGGCTGGGCCATATCCTTCCCCCAGACACCCAGGCAGGGCCCTTTCTTCCTGAGTCCCCTGACCTGGGAAGGGGGCCGGCACATGCAGGACTTGGGCCATCCTCTCTTCTGCAGACGTTCCTCAAGAGTCACCTGGGGCCTATGACTCAGATCACCTGCAGCGCGGGCTGAGGCGGACCTGGGGAGAGCAGATATGGGAGCCTGAAGTCAGGGGGAGTCTGCAGGGGAAGGGGGGAAGTGATGGGGCCACCCCTCCCCCACAAATGTCTCCTTCTCAATCCTCCCCCCCAACGCATAGGAACACACCCGGCTGGGCTTCTGGAAAGGGTTTTGGGGAGGGGAGGGTCCCTGCGGCCTGGAACAAAGAAACCAAACCTCCCGGCCGCCCGCACATCTGTCCGGCCCCTGGACAGGCTCCAGCTGTTCCCACAGCCCCGCCTCCACAAGGCCCTGGGCTGGGGGGGCCCCAAGCCCGACAGGCCCCACCCTTCCTGCACCCCTCCTCTCAGCCCAGGCCAGAAGCTGGCTACAGGGACAGATAGAGGCTGAGGTGGGCAGGGGACTGGGGCACTAAGTGGGAGACAGTCTTCCTGCAAGGATCTGAGAACACGGAGACACAGGGGCACAAGGAGAGATGGGGCTCAGGGTAGGGGACCCCAAAGCAGAGCGGGGTCAGGCCAGCCAGAGTGGGGGTGGGTAGGGAAAGTTGGGGGGAGGCAGTGAGGAGCAAAGCCTTTCCTCTTTATGGAAACAATTTTCTCTAAAAATAAACAGTTTCGCTGCTGGGCTACACGAGAACTTCCTGCCCCCCAGGATGCGTCCGGCTCGGGGGCGCAGCAGGGATAGAAGGCCGGGTGGTGGCCAGGGAAGTCATGGGGGTGGGTGTGGGGGGGGGAGGAAGTAAGAGAGGGTGCCTGGAGGCTGCGAAAGGGAGGGACAATCAGAGCCTCTCACTAACCCCTCCTCAGCCCTGGAGGCCAGCCAGGACCCCTTTGTCCCCAACATTCAGCCTGAGCTTGGCCAGTCCTTTCTGCTGTCTGACCTCTAGCTGCCCTGCTCCAGAGGCCCCAGCCCATCCCACCAAGGAGGACCCTTCCTGGTCTATGGGTGCCAGGGCAGTGGGTACCTGGGAGGACTGGCCAGGTGGGGCACCTGCTGGGCATGAAGGCGGGGCTGGGGCTCCAGGGGCGGCCAAGCTTGTCCTTGTCTCACACCCTGTTTGCCTCTTGCTTAGTCTCTCCACGTCTCTCTGCGTCTCTCCTTTTCTCTCCGAGTCCCTCCACGTCCGTCTGGGTCTCGCTCCACTTCTCTCTCCCTCTCTTTCCACGTCTCTGTCTTCCAACGCCTGAAGCACAGTCACCAATTGTATGAAATTCAGTTTTCACCTGAGGTTCAACCCCTACACACCAGGAAGTGATCAAAAGTATTTTCTGGAGACCTGAGAGAGATTGGTGGCAAGAAGAATTCAAACAGCCCGTGGTGGCCCCTGGAGGTGAAAAGCGGCGGGGCGAATGAGAGTAATAACCGTAATAATCCCCCCCAGCCACTGATTTGATCACAACATTCTCATCAGGCACACGGTTACTGCCCCGTTTTGGAGGCAGAGAAATGTTCAGTGACTTGCCCAGGGTCACCACAGGAGTTAGTGGCTGGGTTTGAACTTGAACCTAAGCTTGGCAGATTCTCCACTGCCAGGGCCACACAACCCTCACCCCCAACTCCACATCCCTCTGCCCATTTCCCACCGAGACTGAGGACTGAGGGTCTCCAGTCATCTGACCACCCTCTATGTGCTAGGATGACTGCAGGTCTAGAAAGCAGATGGAGGTGGGGAGTGTGGCGGCTGAAGCCCCTCTCCCTGTATGGGACCCTAGGGATACAGAAAAGGAAACACCGGGTAGGAGAGATGGAGAAAAAGGGAGGCGGGACACTCCAAGAGGGGACACGGAAAGAGGCGCGGGGTCCCCGGTGGGCCCGAATGTCCCGCGGGGTCTCCCTGAAGCCCTCCCTCCCAGCCAAACCCGGACGTCTCTGGGGTCTCCCCGCCCCAAAGATGGGGGCAAGGGTAGCCCCGCCCCGTGCCTGGGGGGCGGGGCCTGCGGGGTCCCGGGCTAATGGCAAACAGCTGCCGCTCCCCACGCCGGCCCAGCCGCCAGGCCGAGGCCCAGCCCGGCCGGACGCCCGGACGCCTTCCCGCCGTCTGGGGCCTGGCTCGGCGCGGCCACCGAGGAGGGCGAGAGGGGACAGAGCGGGGGTAGAGAGATAGACAGGAGGACCGAGATGGGAGAAAGAGGCAGAAGAAGGACAGTGATGCGGGAAAGGGGCAGGGCGAGAAGTACAGACGGAGGAGGATGCGGCCGGGGGAGAGAAGCAGGGACGGAGTCAAAGACTGGGAGGGGACAGAGATGCGGGGAACCAGACATTCAAAGTCCGAAAAGTTTGGACTTAGACGGTGGAGTTGGAGGCAGCGGCTCATAGAGAACGGCGAGGTCGCGCCCCGGGATTGGGGGTGGGTGGGATGGGGAACCACGCTCGAACCCCGAAGCGGACTCGAACCCCGACCCAACCTCAGGTCCTACTCGCCTCGCGCGCTCCGGCCGCCCGCCGCCGTCCCTGCGTCCCGCCGCCCGTGCGTCCTCCGCGCGCCACCGCCCGGCCGCCCGGCCCTCGGCAGCGGCTCCGCCCCCGCCCTGCCCCATCCGGGCCGGCCCCACCCCCGGCCGCCTGCTGTCCCGGCCGCCGTGGAGGGGGCGATGTGGGGAGAAGGCGATCGCACCTGGACCGCAGGTGTGTGTGTGTGTGTGTGTGTGTGCGCGCGCGCGCGCGCGTGCAAGGGGTCCGGTGTCGTCCTCTCGCCCCTCCTCCCGGAGTCCCAGGGGCACGGTCCCCGCCACCGCTGCAGCTGGGCGCTGCGGGGGGCGGGAGGGGGCGGGGCTGGCCGAGGCCCAGCTCCGGGAGGGCGCGGGCGGTGGCGGCGGCGGGAGGTCACCCCTCCCCCCCACCAACCCGCCGCCCGAGGGCTGGAAGCTGCCCAGCACAGGCCTGGTACGGAGTGGTGGCGTGACTGCCGCGGGGTGGACAGTGGGGCTGGGTCAGTGCGAGGCTGCGCAGGGAATGGCTAAACCGGATCTGGGCCCCAGTCCCCACCAAGTCTCTGCCTGCCTGGTGCCTCAATTTCCCCACCTGTAATACGGGGTTAAGAATGCTTCCTACCTGATAATGGCATTAAGAAAATTCACTTACTAGGAGGCAGGGGCCTCCCTCAGGCGAAAAGGCCCCGTAAATGGGACGGATGGCTTTTTAGGAGCCATTTAGTGCAGGGCTGACTACTGGCCCAAGGGCATAATTAATGTTACTATTATTCCCCATGGGGATGTGACATTATTTGTGTGTTGCTTTCTCCACCAGAATGTCAGCCCCAGGAGGGCAGGAATTGGCATCTGGTGTCACTGCAGTGTTTCTGGCACCCAGTGAGGTCTCAGAGTCTGTCAAAGATCAGGGTGTGTGGATAGACATTGCGCCCATGACCCAGCTCCCAGGATTCACATCAAAGAGGCTGCTTATGAAAACCACTTTAAATTAGAAAAGGTTAAGAGGCATCAGTGCACACAGATGGGAACAGAGGGCCCAGCCCCATGTAAATATGATCACCCCAGAGCCCAGTGCGCAGTTGGGGGAGAATGCCAGGAAGGCATGGACAGTGGAGGCCAGGGTGACAGCTCTTCTGGGTGTGGCTTCAGGCCACCTGGGCTCAGAGGTCGGCCTTCCGGAAACTTGCTCTGTTCAAGGAGTTCCTGGGGGAGGGATGAGGTGGGTCAACATGGCCAACTCTATAGTACTCATCAGCCTCCCCAACCCCTTTCTAAAGATCCTTCTAGGGATTCTGGTCCTTTCCCATCCATTCTGCTCTGGCCATGAGTTCACAGAATCTCTTTTGGAATCTTCCACCAAAGCTAATAATTGTGCCCATTTTATAGTGGGAATCGCGGCCCAGGAAGGTGAAGTCAGATGTCTGGGAAATGACCTAGCTAGGGTTCCCAGGTGGCTGCCAGGAGCCTGCCCAGCCTGCATGCATGTCCCCATAGTTGCATGTTTGTGCCAAGCCGTGAGCATGCGTGTTGACAGGCATGTGTAGGACAGCACCCGTCTGTGCCCGCCTCTGCCCTCTCGATGGCTGGGGGAGGCCGGGTCAGGCACCTGAGGCCCGCAGTGGTGGGCGCCAGCAGCTGGGGCAGGCGCTGGGTGAGCAGCGGCTGCAGAGCCTCCCGCAGGCGGGAATAATTCCGCTCTAGCTCCCGGTGGTACTCCTTCTGGTCGGGTCCTATCAGGGCCTTGTTCTTCCGAAGGGCATCCTCACACCTGAGAGACAGATGGCAGAAGAGGCTCAGGGGCTGGCAGTCAGGAGAAAGCAAGACTGGAGAGGTGGGGGGGCGGTCCCAGCACGGGGACAGGGGTGGCAGGAGCTATAATGCAGGTCTGCTAGGTGGAGACTTCAGGAGAACCAGAGAGGCGGGAGTGCCATATTGGACATCCGGGCTAGAGAGAGGCTGTATGACGTCAGGAAGGCAAAGAGCCCATGGTTGCAGGGCTTGGAGGGGTCAGGCCTACTTCTTGCAGAAGTCCTTGAAACAGAGCCGCAGCTTGTTGTGATGCCTGAAGAGTTTGGGGTCTTCTGGGATCTCTGCCAAAAATACCTGGGCCACCTCCAGGGGACCCTGCCGGGTGAGAGGGGCTCATGAGGGTGTCCGCACAGCCCCGGGGGTGCCTCGGGTGGCCTGCCCGCCCCACTGGCTGTACCTGGTTCACCGTGGGCCCCACAGAGCCCTGTAGCACCATCTGTAGCATCTTGGCATCAGGCGGGTCCTGCTCAGTGGCGAAAGCCAGCTCCCGTGTCTTCTTCTGCATGTCCTCGATGGCCACCTCCACCGGTGTCAGCACCGTCTGTGGGGAGGGAGGCCGGGCGGTTGGCAGGCACTGGCTGTGGCCTGCCAATGTCCTGACCCCAGCCAGCCCAGGGCAGCCTGGCCCCCTGCTGGGGGTGGAGAGGGCTTCCAAGAGGCTGTGTCATGAACAGGGCGTGGGGATGTCTGCCTGCCTGGGTCTGGGGTAACCGGGCCTCCCCTGATCTTGGGTCATGGCCTTTCCCCTCCCAGGGCCCGGGGCCTCTGCCCACCTCCTCCCGGTGGCACACGCGGATCCGTGTCTTGATGTAGGGGAAGGCGTGGTCTGTGCTGAGCAGGGTCTTGCGTTTGTGCTGCTCTGGCAGCTCCCCGTGTGCACGGCCGTCGGGCGTGAAGGGCGTGCAGAACAGGAAGGTGCGCAGCCCGTAGTTGCGGTCGAAGTAGGTCACCCGGTCCTTGAGCTCGTAGGTGTCGAAGTGCGGTTCCACGTAAGTGATCTGGATGTAGGCCTGGGACGCGGGGCTCAGGTATGAGGCTCCCACAGCCCCAGTACACATACTTGGGGCTTGCCAGCCTCCCTGCAGGGCCCCATCCCTGGAGAGAGGGGATTTGGACCTCCTTGGGTCTGGGAGCTTTAAATCTGGGGTTCCCACAACTCCCAAAGCCTTGATGTTCGAGAAACTCCCGAGAAAGGAGAAGGATTTGGGGTTCCCCAGGGAGATAAGCTCTGAAGTGTGCCAGATATAGGATTTGAGGGTCCCCAGGAAGTAGTACTTTTGAGTCTCCCTGAAGATAGGATTTGGGGGTTCCTGGGATGGTCAGGAGCCCTCACCTTCTGTGGGTCAAGCTTGGTCTTGTCCACGGGGTTCGAATCTTTGACAATCTCGACCACGTCCTCCCCAAACCTCTCCGTGTAGAACTCCTGGGGACATGGGGCTGAGTCGGAGCCGCAGAGGAGCAGCAGCCCCCATGCCACCCCAGCACAGCCCAGTGCCCGTCTACCCCCTACCGCCGGGACGTGCCTCCAGCCGGTGCGAGATCTCAGCCAGCTTGGTGATGGATGGTTCCTTATACACAAACTCCTGCTCATCCAGGTCGCCGAAGCGGGCACCATAGAAGCCCACGCGGAAGTACGTCCCGAACACGCGCTGCATCTGTGAGAAGGGGAGCTGTGGCTCGGAACGCCTCTCTAGAGGCCCCCTTGCCTCAGGGATGCATGGTCCTGAGCCCCATGGGCTGAAGAGATGGGCAGAGCCAGGGAAACCCTAAGAACATTCGGTCATAGGCATAGTCAGGGGGACCCTGAGACCCAGACAACGGCCAGCTGCCCACACCCTCCCTCTTTCTCCCCACCCTTTGTTTCCTGGCTCCCCCA